CTCTTAGTTATTTTCTATCCGCTGACCCCTGTTCTGCTCCTTGGCTACAAACTCCCACTCATGTATACATGATATACTGGGACTCGAGTACAATCTCTCTTCCCTGCTGCAAAATCCAGTTGCTGTGGTTCCTACGTCTATCAAATGGTCCTAAATAAAGTCTGTGTTATCATGCTTTAACACATATTACTGGATAATTTTTAACACGTCCGAGACAATCCACCTGGAGGCCTCTACAGTAACACTCCATTAATTTTCTGTTATTTGTTAGCCAAGGTATGTTGTCTTGACAAATGGTATGAACTCCAAGAGATTATCAAAATAAGACATATTTGTAGGTTGGGTGTGGTGGTACTTGCTTGTAATCCCAGCACTCAGGAGGCCGAGGCAGGAGGATCTCTAGTTCAAGTCCAGCTGGGGTTACATAGAAAGACCCTGTCTCAAAACAGCAAAATGAAACAAAATGAACAAATGAGCAAACAAAAGAAGAATGTGTTAGTATTGTCTCTTCTTCCTATTCTCTATCAGTGATCAATTTGGAAGAGCTATTAGTATTTGGATTGTAGTTCCATTTCTAAGAAACATTCCACAAGTGACAGGAGGAATTTTCTAATTGTAGTTGCACAAGGGTGTTCTATCTACTTTATTTGCAATAGGGAAAAATGAAAGCTGTCCCATGTCTAACAAGAATGGAATAGACAAACATCATGTAGCTATTAAAAGCAACAAAATTGCTCTTGATGTATGCAAATGGAAATGTCCACACAGCACATTACTAAGATTGTTTTTAAAAAGCTACAGAACAATGAAGAAGGGGGTGAATTCAGCTATGATATATTTGATACAGTGTAAGAACTTTTGTAAATGCCACCATGTACCCCAGCACAACGATAGAAAAAAGCTGCAGAATAGCTCTTCCCAATAGAAATAGAATGCAAATCACCTAGTATTCCCATTTTCTAGAAGGAGTAATTTCAAAAGAAAGAGAAAATATAAAAAGAAATTGATGAAGTTAATTTTTTGCAGTTTATTTAACTCAATATATCTAAAATATTGAAATATGTAATTAGCATAAAGTTATGAATGAGCTGCTTTGCAATATTGCTTATGCTAAGTCTTCAAAATCTGATGTGTATTTTGCATCAACAAAACATCTCAATTCTGGTGAGCCCCATTTCAAGAGTCAAAGGTCAGTTATGACCACTGGGTACAAAATTAGACCATGCAACTATAGACCAAATATATACCACATATATTTTTGAGCAACCCAAAACCAGTGTATAAGTATTCAATAAATACAGAGAATGCTTGGAAGAACACACAGTAAATGACTAAAGATGCTTCTCTTTATGAAGTGGATTGTGGATTTTTGAGACAGGATTTCCCGATGTAGCCCAGGCTAGTCTGGGATGTGAGGTCCTTGCTGCTTCAGCCTCCCCAGTGCCTGGATTACATATCACCATGCCAGCAGGGTTCAGTTTATGAACATCCCTACTGGAATTTATTATATTAGGATGTATTATTCTTTACTTACAAAGCAAACAAAGCTTATTCTTTTCAACACAGTAAGTCAGTACATAAATGTATCTTAAGCAAATAATAAGATATGTATATAAAGCAATGTTTGTGAACTAGCATTCCTTGGCAATGTTACTTATCATAAAAACTAAACTCTTCATTGTATGTAACAATAGTAAAATTATTCAATAAATCCTAATTCTTCTCTATTTTATGTTTTTCAGAACATGGGAAAATATTCATGATATTATTTAAAAATTTTCATAGCAAAATAACCAAAAAGTGGAACCTGTCAAAATGTCCATCAACTGGGAACAGACAAACAAAATGCAGTCTATCTAAACCATGGAAAATTAGTTAACTATAAAAAGCAATGAAGTCTTGATACATGTTATAACATGGATGAACCTTGAAAATATTTGCTAAGTAAAGGAAGCCAGACATAAAAGGCACTTATTATATGGTTCTGTTTACTTGAAATGTCAGAAATAGCCAGATCTGTAAAGACAGAAAGTAGATTGTTGATTTTCAGGGGCTGAGGAGAGTGGGAGAGGGGCGTAGCTGTTCAATGTGTGTGGTTTTCTTTTGAGAATATTAAGAATGTTTTGGAATTTACTGGCAGTGATGGTTGCACAAGGTGTGAGTGTACTAAAATCACTGAATTTTAAACTTCAAAATGGTAAAAAAAAAAAGGAGTTTTTTTAAATCTCAGTTAAAAAATATGTATATAGAGTAAGATCCTAACTTTGTTGGGAAAATGAAAGCAATATATGCTTAGAACACAGCAATGTGCGAAAGTGGTAGTGGGTTATAAACGCTGTTAATTTTTCTAAGTGTCTCCAGTACACATGGGCAGGGGGAGGAAAAGCATGTAGGAAACAGTCTTCTCACCTGGCAAAACTTAGGCCTTTGCACACTGGATGTGCTCTTATATGTGGTGGTAATGTAACATATAAACTCAAACTCTTATTCGTTGTGATAAATCCTATTTTTCAGTGTCACAAACCAGGAGCCGGCATTCTAATTAGATGTACTATATCAAGATATGGTTCAAACAGATCCACTAGAGTTCGCTGAAAACTAAAACTACGAAACAATTACTTTTTTTTTTTCATTGTTTGGGTCATGTCTCCACCCAACAATTACTTTTTATATTAAAAAGACCGTGGATTTAATTTATGAAAATACAAATGCAGGATAGTAATTTTTCCTTTTTTTTTATAACCAAACTGAAAATTTGAAATACTATCACAGGTGTTTAAAAGAAAGAAAATCTGTTTTACTTAATATTGTAAGTAGCTGTCATTTATGGAAAATTTAATAGTTTTAGGGTTAAGATATCTCTCCTCTCCTGGGTTAGGGAAGAAGAAAGTCCTTTGCCATTGTGGAATGATGCCCTGGCTTTAAGGTCCATTAAATTGATAAATATATTAGTTTGTCAATGTGCAGATAGATTTAGCCCAGTCCCCATAACTCTGGGTGATGGAGAAGTTCTTTCACAGTGGTTGAATGGTTCTGTAACACTGATAAGATACCGGTCTTTACAATCATTTGATAAGTTTTATTTTTGTATAACACTAGTGACATAAGTTGTTTTGCTGTCCTGTTTTTGTAAATCAAATAGAAGTATAAAAGAGGATTTTCCCAGTAGGTACTTTGTACATGTGTACACATGTTGTCCAAATAAAAAATAAATGTTAAAGATTGATAAAAACATCTATGTGCTTTGGAAACCATACTGTGTTCTCTCTGTTACTGATTCCACTAGGCGTGGTCCTGCCCAGTCTATGGTGTACGTTTCTGTCTACAAGGACACTTTTGGCATAGGGTGCCAAAGGCCAGAGCTGGCCTAAGCCTTTCCTTCTCTGTCTTTGGGTGTTCCAGAGAGAAGGCTATGCATTTACCTTTTTGAGCCAGAGCAACTCTGGTTATTGAGGTCAGGGCTTCCATCATTAGAATTCTTGAATGAAAGGGTTAGCTCCCTGCCCTTACCTGGTGGTACTTTTCCTCCATTGGTAAAATAAGGTGCTAACTGCTTGCTTCACTGAAGTGGGGAAGAGGATGCATTTGATAAGTTCTGGAAAGTGCTAAGAGATGGAAGATCTAAAAAAAACTAGAAGATTATTCAGCCCCACCAGGGGCTGAAATCAGTGAGAAGAAGATGGAGAGAAAAGAACTCGTGTAACAACTGTGTGTGTGCCAAGCAGTAAGCAGATAGGATCTGAGCCCTGGGAGTCACTGAGTCTGGTCTTGACCTGTAGTGGATGGTATTTTTCCTAGTCTCATGGACATGCTGGGATCCCTGCTGTGGACCTCAGGCTTTGCTTTAGTGTTGTGGAGATCCCATCTGACATCTTAGTCCCCCAGAAACGCTAGCGGGTAAATGAAAGAGAATTCACACATTGAATAAAGATAAAATTGCACAGGTTTTGGCTTCCTCAGAAATCCAGAACTCTGAAGGTATTTGTTGAGTGACATTTTATTTCAACTTGCCCAATTTGTCATAACTGGTATCCAAAATTTTGTGGACTGATAAGGAAAGGGGCCCAAGATGTAGGATATTAAAAAACAAACAAACAAAAACCATTTTGTCAGAGAACAGAGTATATGTGTTGCAAAAATCTATAAAATTATGTGTATACGGACATATCAATGTATCTAGATCTATCTATCTATCTATCATCTATCATTTATTTATGTTAGTGAATGGGTAGAATTTTCCCTTGGTTTTACTTAGAGCACGGTCAAACTTTTGTGCAGATTACAGTTGCATATCTTAAGCAAATCTTACAGTATATGTCATATTAAACCAAACATTTATCCCTGCCTACTCCTGGGAACAAGAATGGCGTGTACAAGTAGAGGGGTGCAAGGAAGGGCTCCCACATTTTACTTTATACATTTCTGTACTGTTGAAATTGTAATAGATTATTTCATAGCAAAAAAGTTGCACACTGGAGAGTGAACCCAAGGTTTTGCACATGCTGGGAAAGCATTCTACCACTTGAGACATGCCCCCAGCCCTTTTGTTTTTGAGACAGGGTCTCCCCGCTATGTCTGCCTAGATTGGATTGAACTTGAGATCCTACAGTTTCTGCCTCCTGAGTAGCTGGGATTATGGATGTGTACCACCATGCCCAGTTTATAAAAAAATAATAAAAATGATCAACTGTAGTCATAACTCCCTTCAAGCATATTCTCAAACATCTTACCAAGTGGCTAGAAGGGGTTAACACAGAGAATTCCAAATGTTTAAAGAGAGGAAAGTCCTTTTTAGAAGGCTGCGTAGGGTTGGGGTGAGAGACTGTACAGTGGAAAGGAAAGGGGAGGAAAGAGGCCTAGGGAAGGACTTAGTTCTTACCCCAGCCAATAGCAGAAAATTTCAGACCTAACGCCCACTAGTGGAGACTATTTCAGGAGTCAGGATTTGAGCTTGGGTTCATTGTCATGGTAACTTGTTAGAGAAGAACTGGTGAGCTTTCAGCTTTCAGGTTTGGCTGGTTGGAGGCTGCTTTTCTTGTCCGTGAAAGGTAAATCCAAGCCTCAGCTGATCCTGTGTTGGTGATTGGAGTTTAAGTTTTTCTTTCTGTTATGTTGGCTTCTCTTTCCACCCAGAGCTGTGAGATGCCTATGGAATAAGTCTTTACTCTAACGAGAGAAATATTAACACTACATTTATAACATCTGGAGTGGTTCATCTTGGTTCCCTAGGAGGGCAAGACATGGAGTGTTGAAGCATTAGGGAGACCCTTTCTTGGGGTCTCTGTGTGGACAGGAGGAGAATACCGGTGTCTTGGTTGTTGAACGACTTTGTGTTACTTTCCCTCGTTTTACTTAGAGCCTTGTTAAGCTTTTGCGGGGATGATAGTTATATGTAACAGTACGGTGAATAAGTATTCAACCTAACTCTCTCTGTTAATATCGTAGAATGGATTCCTGCTTTATTTTCCATCTCAGCAAAACGTCTTAAACTCTCCTTATTCATAAGAAAGAGTAGGAAAGATACATCCTACAAAGTCATCTCTCTTTAGGTCCATGTAGCCTCCCACCCCATGGTGCATTGTCCTAGACTTCACAATGACCTCCTTCTTTCCCCATAGGGTTTGCTAGTGATGGACCCCTACATGATTCAGACGAATGGCAATGGCAATCTGGCCTCTGTTCTGGATGTTCATGTCAACATCGGCGGGAGAAGCTCGGTGCCAGGAAAAATGAAAAGCAGGAAGGCCAGATGGTCTGTAAGGCCCTCTGACATGTCCAACAAAACTTTTAATCCCATCCGGGCCATTGTGGATAGCATGGAGGTGAAGCCTAATCCGAACAAAAGCATGATTTCTCTGTCAATTGGTGAGTGGGGACACTTGAGGGAGAGGCAGCACTGTCATTGTCCCCTACTTCCCATCTTCTCGGGCTGGTTGAAAACATGGGAAGAGAGGGTGAATCTGAGCCCTGGACAGGGGACCTAACATCTTGGTGGTTCCTTTTGCTCTTTCCCTCCCATGAACAGGAGATCCCACTGTGTTTGGAAACCTGCCTACAGACCCTGAAGTTACCCAAGCAATGAAAGATGCCCTGGACTCGGGAAAATACAATGGCTATGCCCCATCCACTGGTAAGCTCTTGGTGATCGCCAAATCTTTCGTGCTCTTTGTTGTTGTTGTTGTTTGTTTTGAGACAGAGTCTTGCTACGTAGCCCAGGCTGGTATCAAACTCATGATCTTCCTGCCTCTGCTTCCTGAGAGTGCTGGGATTATAGGCATGTGTCATTATGTCTGACTTTCAATGTTCCTTTAATATGACTTAATTTTTAGCAATTTTCCTGATATATAATTCTGAAGGAAAGGTTAGGCTGAAGCAGCCTTTTGGATTTGAGGAAAGGAGTCTCGCTCTGGATGCTTAAACATAAGTCATCAAAGTTTAACTTCTTTCCTGACTTTCTTTGCATGCTGGTACTTCCCTTCCAGGCTTTCAAACACAGTTACTTCTCAGTGTTCGTCCCCTATCATTATTATTTCTACTACAAAGGCCTTGCATGTGGCTGGAACTGCTTGTTTATTGAGTCCTCTAGGTCCTACATTAATTTACTTACTGCCCTATGCAAATAGCTCCTTTGCTTTATCCTCCTTCTCTATACATTGAAGGCTCGTTCTCCTGTGGTCCTGGTCACATTGAACGCAGTTGTGTTTAAGAGGTCAAAACCACCATGAAGAATGGGCTGTTGCACTGAGGGAAATGTTGTTGCTAGAAGGGAATTATCCTGTGTAAATTTAACCCTACCTGTTAAAAATTTGTCCTCTAAGGATTTTGGTAAAGTAAGTGACTCCTTGACTTTATTTCTGTATTGCAATCCCCCCCTCCGCCCAAGTATATGTGTACATTTTGTAGTGGGGGCTGAACTAAGGGCTTCACACTTGCTAGGCAAGTGTTCTACCACTTGAGCCATGTCCCCACTCCTTTTTTTTTTCCCAAATAGGGTCACACACTTTTGTCTGGGCCAGCCTCAGACTGTGATTTCTCTACTGTCACCTCCTGAGTAGCTGGGATTACAGGCTGTGCATCAGCATGCCTGACAGAAACATATTCTTAATGCAAATAAAAACCCAGTCTCATGCTAAAAATCATTTCAGAGAGGTATCAGGGACATGGTTTTTAGGTTAGGTTACTTATAGATTAGAAAGTTTTGTATAACAAAAATCAAATTCAAGACCCAAAGCGAGGTTATAAAATAGTTTATAATGACTTTAATATCCAAAGCATTAGGGCAGTGATTCAACATGTAAGTCTGAAATTGAGTATTCGTTTGACACTTGTTCAGAGGATTTGAATGTTGTATACTAAAGAAGATAAGATGACACTGTACCTCCAGAAATATGTTCTTCCTCATTAATAATTAAGGAAGTATAGATTATGTAATTTTGAGAGACCCATTTGTGTCTATTAAATTAGCAAACATGAAATATTGCCTCTGGCCTTCCTAGCTTGTCAATTTAGGCAGCAAATTTGCAAAATATTATAACAGAAATAAACCTGTTAATACTTCATGCTTGTAAGTCAAAATTGGAAATACTGTATAAGAAAATTATTTAAAAGAAAAAGTTGTACAAAAATTTAAGTATATTATGTGTTGTAAAAAAAAAAACCTTAAAATCCATCACATATATTGAATGCATTGATGACCACTTTAAAAAAAAATAGACCCTAAAAGGGATTTCTGAATAATTTGAAGACTTTATTTTACAGAGAATAAAACATAGTAATCAAAACGGGACAGAGGATTTTACAGTTTGGGGAGCTGCTTCTTGTTATTGTTCATATATTTGTGCTTACAATAAAATTATAAAATATAAAGATAGTCCTCTTTATCCATAGTGGCTGAGAGTTAAACTGAGTAGCCTATGCTGTAAGGAGGGGTGGGAGGCAGGGAGAAGGCCATGTTGACCCTCTGGGACAACATGGAAATCCTCCAGCTTCCTCTTCCCACTCTTCTTCAGGCTATCTAACCAGTCGGGAGGAGATTGCTTCTTACTACCACTGTCCTGAGGCACCGCTGGAAGCTAAGGTGAGCTTCGTACAAAGTCCCAACTCTTAAGCTGCTCCATAAGCAGTAACGGTCTTGGGGGAGGAGGAAGCTGAAGGTAATTTCCTGGAAACAGTTTGAGGGTTTCTTATACAGCTGTGCTCCCTAAGCAGTGATTATATTTAATGCCAATACAGAATAAGGATATCTCCTATTAACTCATTTAGTGTCTGTCATAGAAGCTCAAAGAACCCTGAGGTCATCCTAGATTTGATTTTTCTGCAAAAGATCATTGAAAAAAATTCATTCACACCAAATAATTAATTAAAAAAATTTACCAATAGGATCTGTTTTTATTTGTCTCTTCATTCACCCTTAAGCACTGAGACAGAATGTTAAGAGGTCTTGGCATATTGAACTAGTGGCATTGCCAAGTTTAGGTTTGGCCCTTCCTTTTATTGTCTACTGCATGGGGTAGACATTTCCTAATATTTGTATTCCAGAAAAAACACTAGGTTTCAAATCTTTGGCCAAAAGTAAATAAATAAGTAGGTGAAAAAAGGCCAAGGTCAGTCCAAAGTCTCTTATGATATTGAGTCATAGCAACTTGTCCTTTTTAAAGTCATTTCTTTCTTTTATTTTCCAATATTTTCAATAACATTTACATATAGACATAGACATGGATACGCATATTAATTTCCTTTGGTTTTGGCTTACACACTCCTTACTCCCTACTATTTACTTAGAGCTTGTTAAAGTAAGTTCATTATTGCTCCTAAGACACCCACATGACAAGCTCTTTTCTCCTGAGATTGTTGGAGGCCCCAGTTTATTAACCTTTTATTCTCTTCACAGGATGTCATTCTGACAAGTGGTTGCAGTCAGGCTATTGAACTTTGTTTAGCTGTGTTGGCCAACCCAGGGCAAAACATCCTTGTTCCAAGACCCGGTTTTTCTCTCTACAAGACATTGGCTGAATCTATGGGAATTGAAGTCAAACTCTACAATCTATTAGTAAGTAACTTTCCAATGTTATACTTGAGTGCTCAATTACTACTCTGTAAAAATATATGACCATTACCTCACTGAGAAAGGTCTGGAAGTGGGTGGTTGAGGCCTAAGACAAATATCATTATTGATATTGTGTACTTGGATTGAGTATTCCCCCTAAATTTTTCTGAATCATTTTAGTTAGTTCCATCCCTTCTTCCATCCCAGCCAGAGAAGTCTTGGGAAATCGATCTGAAACAACTGGAATCTTTGATTGATGAAAAGACAGCTTGTCTCATAGTCAACAATCCGTCAAATCCCTGTGGGTCAGTATTCAGGAAAAGTCATCTTCAGAAGATTTTGGCAGGTAAGTCCAGCAGACTCACTGAATGGAGGAGGAGATGGGGATGGAGTCCTTTAGCTGGCTCCCAGAGTGACCAAAACAATCCTTCTCTAAGTTCCAAACCTGGGATGGAGGAAGGACTTCCGTTAGCTTCTCTAGTCAATGGTGTGGCTTTGGAATGACAGGTCTTGCCTACAAGAATGAGGAAAAGAAGAAATATAGGTTGAGCATCTCTAACCCCCAAATCCAAAATCCATTTGAGATTTTCAGATTAGGAACATTTAACTAGAAAATTTATAGAAATATTCCCAATTCCAAAATAAAACAAGAACTCCAAGATCTGAAACACCTCTGGTCCTGACCACTTTGGATAATAGATACTTAACCTGTACTTTGCCTCCCATCATGTGGAAGAGAGAGTTTGAAATACCTAGCTAATTAAACTGCAAACTTAGATTCTCAAGTCTGGAAGAGTTATCAGAAAAATTTATAGTTCTTAAAGATCAAACACACAAATATGAAATGCAAGGCACAGTAAGACCAGGTGAATATTAAATGATAAGTCAACTCACATTAAAAACGATTCCAAGCTGGGCATGGTGGGAGGTTGAGGCAGGAGGATTTGAAGTTGGCTTGAATTACATAGTGAAACTGTGTCAAAAAAAAAGAAATAGCAACGAAAGATTCCAGCATGTGTTTTCTTTTTTTCCAGTGGCTGCAAGGCAGTGTGTCCCCATCTTAGCAGATGAGATTTATGGAGACATGGTAAGTCGAGGTCAGGATCGATCACTACTATAATCCCAATCCAAAACTGTCTCATGGGATCTTTAGAGTTGGCAACTCCTCAGAAGCAACTCCTAATCATTCCAGTACACCAAATCAATATCCTTGTACTCTTAGCAAGTATAGAGACCCACAATTCTTCTTTTTCTTTGAAAATCTAAACTGTCTTGGAATTTGGTTGCATAACCTGAGTTGACTTGATATGAAGATATGTATAGTTTTTGTTTATGTAATTTATGAGTGTATGTTTGTTAAGAGTATAGGGAAAGTGGTAGAAATGTTAGTATTCTCGACTAGGGGTACTGGTGCTTAGACTACTCTGGGAGAGTTACAGAATGTCTGGCTTCTGTGCTACCTAGCTTTCTGAAATACAAACAATTCTGCATTCTGCAACGTATGAATTTTAGATAATGTGAATTTAAAAAATTTTAGATACAGGATTGTAGACCCATGTTTTATTTTATTTTTGGTGGTACTGGGACTTGAACTCAGGGCCTCACACTTGCTAGGTGTGGAGAATGGAACAGGAGAAGCCTATGAGGACCTAAGAGGCAGAGCAGCTGCTTTTCCTAAGATGTTTAGTCAAATAAGCTGAGACTTGGCACAGCCCCAGCTACAGAAGAGAGCAAGAAAGTGAGATGCAGCACAGCTGCTTTTCCTAAGTTGTCTAGAATCAGGAACACAGGTTTCTCCTGTTACAATGTCATGCTCCTCCCTGAGAAACGTCGCTCCACCTTCTTGTTTACCACTGGGTATAAAAGACTTGCTGAAGGAGGATGTGAAGCTTTTTGGGTGAAGGGAGGCTTTTGGATGGGAGAGGCTTTTTGATGAGGGGTTTTTGGCTGAAGGGAGAATTGCTGAAGGGAAGATTGCTGAAGGGGAACTGCTGAAGCTAAACAGAGACAATGCACGTCTGCATGGAGAAATTTATACATAGTCTTTAGAATAGAAAAGCTAAGCTAAAGAAAAGCTAAGAGAGAACATGGGACAGAGCGAGTCTAAGGAAAGAGACTTTAAAGAACAGAAAAGAAGCAAGGTTTTAAAGAAGGACTTTAGAAGCAAGGTTTTAAAGAATTGTAAAGGAGTAAGGCCTTTAAGAATAAAGATAGAGAAAAGAAGCAGAGTAAATAAAGAAAACAGTAAAGAGAAATAAGCAATGAGGCTGCTGTGCGTCTCCATCCTCCCGCCCAGCCCACCTGGCCCCAACTTCCTGTCTGTCATCTGTCTTGTGTCCTTTCTGCATCTCTCATCACCCCCAGTTAGCCCCAGTTAGATTCAGTAATAACAAGGGAACAAGAAAAAGTTTGCACCAGCTAGGCAGGTGCTCTACCATTTGAGCCACTCTACCAGCCCCCACATTTTATTTTAAAATCTAAAACTCCTACAATCACTAATTCCATACAGTTAGCTGCATGAAGTTTATATACACAGTGGGGCTAGAATCACTTTCCTCATTTTAGACCAGATACCAAATTAAATGTCTTTGGATAGGCCCTTTTGAAGCCTCTTGGAATTCCAATTATGCTTCAGTACAGGAATGAACCTATAAATCTGATGCCCTGCCAGTGGAGACTTAAGGCAAAGGGTGGGAGGCAAAGGATCTAGAGGAAAGTAAGCAAGATCTCTTCTCACCAGGTGTTTTCAGATTGCAAATATGAACCACTGGCCACCCTCAGCACAAATGTCCCCATCCTGGCTTGTGGAGGACTGGCCAAGCGCTGGCTGGTTCCTGGCTGGAGGATGGGCTGGATCCTCATCCATGACCGAAGAAATATTTTTGGCAATGAGGTGAGAGTGATATGGTAAAATACTATGTGTAATTTAGTATATATATCTGTTTCATATATGCAATAGCGAGGAGGCAGTTTCTCTTACTCCTTTCTTCTTGACTTTGTACTTCATTGTACCTGGAAATAGAGTGAATAAAGATGGTGATGGCTAGTCCTCTCCCAAACTCAGTTTTCATGTATCTGGATCTGTGAAGAGGTTCCGTCTACTTCCAATTTTTGGACTGTAAAATAGAAATAATAATAGTAATGACAGTTAAGGCTCACCATATGCCAGTGTTTTATGTACCCTGTGAGCCAGCAAAACAAACCTCTGAGGCCAGTATTAGCATTCTTTCCATGTTACAGTGCAGAAAAACAAGGTGCAGAGAAATTATTTGCCTACAGTCAGGTTTGTAGTAGAACTAGTCTGGTCTGATCTAAGAGTGCCACGAGGTACTACCACTCACTGAGATTAAAAACCTGATAGAAAGAAATGTCAGAACAAGAATCTCCCTAACAAGGTACTCAAGAAAGCCTAAATGACGTGTTTCCTGTGGGCTTCTAGATCCGGGATGGGCTGGTGAAGCTGAGTCAGCGGATCTTGGGACCCTGTACCATTGTCCAGGGAGCTCTGAAAAGCATCCTGCGTCGTACCCCTCAAGAATTCTACCACAATACTCTAAGCTTCCTCAAGGTAAGGGCAGTCTATGACATTTTACTTGGGGAGTTCTCATTTTGGGGGCACTGTTCCAATGTGTGGCTTCCACATGGCATCGGTACCAGTCCACACCCATACAGTTCTCTCATTTCTGGTCATTCACTCTTGACCTCACCAAGAACATCGAGTGATGAAGTTTTTTTCCTTGTTTACTCTTTATGCCAGAAGATCAAACTAGCATCCCAACCTCAATGAAGGGGCTATTTTCAATGACATGGCTTTTTTTAAACTTAAAATTTGATCCTTGATTTTTCTTTCTGTCTCATCTTGTAGTCCAATGCTGATCTCTGCTATGGGGCATTAGCTGCCATCCCAGGACTCCAGCCAGTCCGCCCTTCTGGGGCCATGTATCTCATGGTAAGCATGTGTGTGTGTGTGTGTGTGTGTGTGTGTGAGTGAGCACTAGATCTATGCATGTCATAAAACACAGGGAAGTGGGTTGATGGGACTGTGTGGGTGGTGGGGGCAGGTTTGTCTCATGGTAAGCATGTGTGTGTGTGTGTGTGTGTGTGTGTGCAGTGTGTGTGTGTGTGTGTGTGTGTGTGTGTGTGTGTGAGTGAGCACTAGATCTATGCATGTCATAAAACACAGGGAAGTGGGTTGATGGGACTGTGTGGGTGGTGGGGGCAGGGTTGTCTTTGCCATTCAAATGAGCTAGGCTCCTGAGCCAGTCAGTTGAGGAATTGTTCATAATTGTCCCACTGATATGATTTAACCTTAGTGTTCACCAGATTCTTAAAGTGACTTTATTCCTCAGTACAGCAAATTATTTTACACGTAGATACAGGGACATTATGAGGTACAAGCAAGAAGCATTCCATTCTTTGAAATGATTGGTGCCATTCTGGTTCCACAGAGGTGTTTACTACTATATGGGACTTTTGTTTGTTTTCAGGAATGCTACATATCCCGCAGTGGGTGGGATAGTCCCATGCAATAAAGAATGACCTAGCCTGAATGCTAATTGTACGTCTTTTGAGGAACACTGACCTTCTATTTCCAGCTTTCATTTAGTCAGCATCTAGAAAGGACTCTTTGATAAACTAAAATTTTATATCCTCTCTTCTCTGTGAAAGAGTCCATGAGTTCTGAAGTGCTAGCATTCTTAGTTATCAGTAATAGAATTCCGAGACACCTTTTAAAGTAATCCCATCCCTAATTTCTGGCATAGGATATTGGCTTGTTTTCTCTCATCTGATAAGTTTGCCTCTCCCTTCTGCTATTGGTGTAGGTTGGAATTGAGATGGAACATTTCCCAGACTTTGAGAATGATGTAGAGTTCACAGAGCGGCTAGTTGCTGAGCAATCTGTCCAGTGCCTTCCAGCAACGGTGAGTGCTTGGTCTCTCAGGACATGCTTGAGAGTTTTGAGAGCCCCTAGTTCTCTCCCCGAGCCCCCTGGCCTTTCTCCCCTTACAAAGTATAGGCTTATTGTGTCTCATACCTTCTGTTTAAAATTTGCTTCTCCCCCACCATTATGCCCTCTGTAATCAGAAGAAAAAATTGTAAACAAACACTGTAGGTGAGGAGATCAAGCTTCCCATGGTCTGTTTTTAACACAAGTTAGCTCAGGGCTGGAGGAGTGGCTCAAGTGGTAAAGTATCCACCTAGCAAGCTTGAGGCCCTGAGTTCAAGCCCCAGTACCACCAAAACAAACAAATAACGCCCCCCCCAAAAAAAAACCCGAATTAATTCAGTTATTGACTCAGCACACCGTTCAGAGAACTGAATGAGCTGGTACCCCTTATGAAATGGCATCACCTTTCCTTGCTGACTAGGGCTCTGACCATTTCAGGGTGGTCCAGTATCAGACTCAATTGCTCTGAAAATAATAGGTTCTTATTTTTTGCAGTGCTTCGAGTACCCAAATTTCTTCCGAGTGGTAATCACTGTTCCTGAGGTGATGATGCTAGAGGCCTGTAGCCGGATCCAGGAGTTCTGTGAGCAGCACTATCACTGTGCTGAAGGGAGCCAGGAGGAGTGTGACAAATAGGTCCTCACCCATTCTCCTGAAGATGCATCCCATTGAGGAGGGCTGGACTGGGCTCTGTTGCTCCTCGGAGTCAGCTGCCCCTACCAGGAGAGGGGCCTCGAATGCACCATGTTAAGAGCTCAGGATGGTTCCTGCTTTTTCCCCAGTCACACACACCACACTCTGACCTCCCCCAGTTCTCCTTGCCCTGCTGGAGTGACTTACGCATTCATTGATCTGTCCCCCTCCCATATAGCTGCCTCTTTTTTCCTGAGAGTATCAGGTAGACAAAGTTTACCAGAAGATAGGATAGGAGAAACAAAAGATTGTAAAACCCATGATGCCACCCATTTCCTCATGCTCTAAATTGCAGCATTCTCACCAGTCAGGCCTAAGACCGAACTCTCTTACTGCCTCACTTCAGGTATACCTCACTTTCTGCAAGAGAGCTGTAACTGGAAAGAAGTTGGTGACACGTGTATTTGATTAATTATATTCTAAACATATTAAGAAATTTGCTATTTAAAGGACCATTAGCAGAAAGTATTTCATGGATTTTTTGTAAAGAATTATTTTATGATGCAACTAAATATCCTTTAATTGATCAACTTCCTAAATTTAGATTTGTACGCATCAGGCTTTCGTAAAATGAAAGCACATCTCATTCTATGAGAAAGGAGGAACTGGAGAACCTTCCAGAAATACTGCTATGTAAGGGTAGAAATAGCCTTACTTGTCATTGTTATAGAATCATTTTCACTTTTGCTGTAGTGTTAATATTGATTTATTAATATTTGTTATATTATCTTTTCATATGTTTTCTAAGAAACATTTATATTACAAGATCTTTTATTTTGCCAAGAGCATAAATTATTGTTTTTCTTTTTTTAAAATAAACTTTATCATGCATGCACTTGTGATGCGTTTTTTTTCTCCTCTGCAGCATTCGTAATGCCTGTTGTTCCCAGACACTGTGTAGTCTGACTGCAGCATTACCTACTAGGTCTCATTTATTTCTTTGTAGATATACTGATTTTTTCAGTTACTTACAAAGCACAATTTCTAAAATTTTTTTTGGGAGCTCAACTTCTGGCTTCCTATTTATAAACAAGGTATACTCAGAAGTAACAAGTTATTATCTCTGGTGTTCACACCTTTAACTGTCTGGATCCCCAACCTGTGGTACCTGTCCTTACCTAGATCTAGTTTACTCATTGGGGAACAATGTGGAACTGGTTCAGCTTGACTAATGAAAGAGAGGCATGCAGTATTTTCTTTCAGCCATGAACATTTGTCTGAAAATCCTCAGACACAGTTGTCTGTTTAATTTTTCCTCAGCACTTCCCTTAGAAGTGCAGGCCCAGAAGTTATCTTGCAAGGTTGGTTGGGGATTGGGAGTATACCACAACCAGTCTGGAGATTTCTCACCGAGGGAAGTTTTCTTAAAAGAGGAACTTCAGGTCTCAACCGTGTCGGTCACACCTAATTCATTACCTTGATAAAAATCAACATCAAATATACCCTTCTAATCTATGTTTGAGTTCAGTGAGCACACATAAAAATTTACTTTTTAGTTGTCCTCAGCAAATTCAAAATGAATATACAATGATGAGATGATAAAGAAATTTTTGAAAAATTTCCAAAAATTCCTGGCTCCTCTTTTCCTGTCTCCTGCCCAAAGTTCCCTGTCTAGAAATAAACAGGAAGAACTTGGTTTAGCTTCTCATGTACGGAAAATTCTGTCCAGTATTATTAATAGAATTCTACACAGATCTCTAAATTTCCAAATCTCCTTTTGTATTTATATTTTGACAAATGAGCCAAAAGAACATTAAAAAAAATTTTTTAAAAAGCACATTGGACAAATTTCAAATAATATAGACAAACCCATCCTCCTTTCCCCTCCAGTTTGTTCTTCCTGAGGGAATGAATCCGTCATTGATGCTTCATACATCAAGGGTACTATGGGCAGATGTTAAGGGCCTGAGTGTACCTGGGTGGGTGTCCTCCCCCTTTAAAAAACAAATACTACTCAACTTTTAATTCTGAACTGTGTATCAAGTCAAAGGTGGGACGACATATCTGAGACGTCCATCACGTCCTGGGTGTTTCTAGATAAAAAGGAGCCCCCCCGCCTTCAGAGCCCACAAAGAGGACTACAAACTCCAGCATCCCTCAAGACCCTGGCTGGTGATTCACTGCTGCGCAGGCGCGGATGCACGGCAGGAGGGGGAGGAGGGGGCGCGTGCTGCTCAGGGCGCATGCGTCACCGCGAGGTAACCCCCCCCCCGGTCGCTCAGGGCGCATGCGCAGAACCTGATGGGAGGGTAGTCTTTTTTTTCTTTTTTTTTTTGCACCGAGTTTGGACTCCCTCTTGCAGAAGGCTTCCAGGAATTTGATAAATCATCCCTGGGCGTTGTAAACACTTGTTAACCTTTTCCAGCTCCAGGTCAGTCGCAGTAAATCGGATGAGTTGTGAGCAGAGTAGGTAATTCCTTTAGCTGGTGTCAGTTTCCCAGAAGTAGGGCCCCTTGGAACTTTTCTTTGAAGAATGGTGTCCTTCATGGTCCACAGTGCCTGCCATATAGTAAGATTTCCACTCAGCCAGTAAAATGAATTCACCCCTATGGTCTTGTCAAAGGTAAAGCCGGACACTAAGGACTGATTTTAATCTGTAATATACTTTAGTAATATAGGGAAGAGTTCAGCATGAACTGAAGTGAACCTTAGTTTGTACAGAGGTGATAGTGAAAGGACTGGGTTAGGAGGTATGAAGTAGTGTAGTGTAGTCTGAAAAACCACAAGGAAGAGTTGGTCCGTGTGAAATTCATTTGGGTTTGTTGTTAAATAGCACTTATGGGAAGTTAGGCTCTACCTTCTCCTGGAGACAGGTGTTTGCTGGAATGAACAGTAAACTTTTGGCAGCTTTGAATTTTCTTATGTAGACACTTTAAGCAGGACCTGGGTCATCCTAAGGGGTTGAGCTGTTAGAAACTGTGTTAGTGTTTTGTTTAAGTCTGTGGAAGCTAATTGAGAAAGGATTTGTAGGGGCCTTGCTAGAGTTTGGTCAGGGAGAGAATCTTCCTTGCTTTATCTACTCTGCACATTGCTACATAAAAAGGGCTGTATTCTAAACACCCTATAGGTTGAGTTATTGCATCCATTGGAGAAGAACTGAATTACCAGAACATCTCACTCATAGTCATTTATTGTACACACTTTAAATATGCTTTCAAATACATTTAATGTACCATAGAAGATGCAAATCTAGGTGCTCTTTATTGGTCAAACCATTTCATGGTACCTTCCAAAGAGGCATTCTTTGGCACACAGATTGAAGTATATTATATAGGAGATGACACCTATTTCCTCAAAGAAAACAAGCAACAGAGGAACTAGGATATGTGTCTTAATTTTTGTCAGTGTTTCAGCATAGAAGAGAATTCTTGCTCCTTGAGATATTTATTCCCTTGATAACCAAAAATCAAAGCATTTTTACATTATACCCTATTTTTAAAAGCTACAAGAGTCTTCTTTTTGGTGGCACATATACTAAAATTAGAACAATAAAGAGAGTATTAGCATGGTTCTAGAAAACCAAATTCAACACCACATTTAAAAGATTACACATACATGACCAAAAGTTGTCTTTGTTTGTAGGATGTAAAGATGGTCCCATATATAAAGATCATTCAATATACTATACTACATGATCATCAAACCAGATGCAGAAAAAGCAGTTGGCAAGATTCAACACCCTTTTAAGATAAAACCATGCAACAACTAGGAATAAAAGGAAGTTTCCTCACATAATAAAGGGCATCTATGAAAAGCCAACAGTTAACAGATTCAATGAAGAAGGACTGAAAGTGTTTCCTATAAGATGAAGAACAATTTAAGGATACCTGCTGTCAACACTTCTGTTCAATGAAGTAGTGAAAAGTTCTAGCCAGAGCAATTAGGCAGGAAAAATAAATAAAGACATCTAATTGAAAAGGAAGAAATAATTTCTGGTTGAATCTGACATGATTGTATAAATAGAACATCCTAAAGACTGTATAAAATTTGTTAGAATAACCGAAATCAGCAAAGTTACAATATTGATATACAAAAGTAATTTCATGTCTATACATTAACAATGAACAACTCCAAAGGAAGTTGAGAAAACAATTACATTTATGATAGCATCAAAACAATTGAATAATTAGAATAACCAAATAAATGAGAGATTGTACAGGAAAACTATAAAAATGTTGCTGAAATAAGTTGAAAATGAAAATAAATGAAAATATATCCTATGTCCAGGGACTGGAAGCCTTAATATTGTTCAGATTGAGTTTAAAGCAATCTACAGATCCAATATAATCCCTATCAAAATAACAATACCATTTTTGCAAAAACAGTACCCAATTCCACTCCTAAAAGCTTTCATACAAATACCCATGGAAGCATTATTTAGAATAGCCCAAAATGGGAGCAACACAAATCGGTCATCTGATTAGTGGGTAAATGAAATATATCTATACAATAGAATATTACTTGAGAGTGAAAAGGAATGAAGTACTGATATATGCTACAACATGTTTGAACCTTGAAAACATTAAGCAAAGTGAAAGAAGCCAGCCAAAGATACTACAAACTGTGTGATCCCATTTATATAAAATGTCCAGAATAGGTAAAGTCATAGAGACAGAAAACAGATTAATAGTTGCCTAGAGCTGGGTGTGAAGGGTATGAATTGAGGATAGAGAGTGATTGTTAATTGGTACAGGGTTTGTTTTGGGGGTGAGGAATATGTTCTAAAATTGGTTATGGTGATGGTTGCACAACCCTGAATATACTAGAAACCAACTATTTCTCAATAACACTTTTTCAAAGGTACAAAGGAGTCAAACTTCAAAAAAGACCAATTAAGCTGGGAGCCTGTGGCTCACCCCTGTAATCCTAGCTACTTAGGAGACAGAGATCAGGAGGATCGAGAGTCAAAGCCACCAGCCCCAGGCAAATGAGACCCTATCTTGGAAAAAAGAAAACATTAAAAAAAAAAAGTCTGGTGGAGTGGCTTAAGTGATAAGAGCACTTGCCTAGCAAGTGTGAGGCCCTGAGTTCAAGCCATGGTGCTACTGGAAAAAAAAAAAAAGGACCAAGATATTTGTTGGTTTTTATAGGAATTTCAAACTTTTTGCTAGTTTGCTTTTTGAAACAGAATCCA